GAAAGTCACCAACAGTCGATGGTATTTAATGGCATGGCTCGAATAAGATGACATAAAGAGAGGTTGTGGATAGAGACCTAAAAAGTTGCTCTAGGGCTTTCTAGCATTTCAAGGTTATGTATAGGAGGGAGCAGCAAAGATTAAGAAATGGCCAAAGAAGAATAGGGGAGAGTAAAATCAAGAATCAACAGTGCAGAATGCTACAGAGGTCAAGAGAGATAGAGACCTCTATATCTGACAAACACTGCAATTACTGCTGACCTTAACAAGAACAGTCTCTATAGAGTGGTGAAAACAAATTTAGCTGGAATGGGCTGAGAAGAGAATATGAAAAATACAGCGTAATTATAGACATTTCACTCAGAAAGTTTTATGAAGCAGAGATGAGAAAATGGGGCAATGTTGGAAAATGGAATAATGTGAAGGAAGGATTGCTTTTGATAGTATATACTAATATGTTTGTATGCTGACTGAGAACCAGAACTGATGATGCAGAAGAAAAGGAATAATAGCTGGAGATGGATTTTGATAGAAGCAGGAAGCTTTCATTTATTACAGAAGGAAGGAAAGTGGGCACAGATGCAGATAAGCTGGTAAAAGTGGTGGTGGGAAGATGAGAGAGTTCATGTTTGATGACCTGTATTTTCTCAATGAAACATGAGGCAGGATCAGAGGTGGAGAGACAGTAGGCAAAGAAAGAGTGAGACAGGAGAAAAGTTTAGAAGACATGTGTCCAGGCAGTATTTGGTATGTTTTAACATCGGTGGCCATTAAAAGTATTAAGTTATCATTTATCAGTTTGGTTCTGTTTTCTTCCCAAGTGTAGGCACTATGGTTTAACCAATAAAGTGGGACAAAAGGAAGAGAGGAAGGAGGTAAAAGTGTTTCAAAGGGAGTAGGTGTAATGCACCAGGGAATCTGAGTAGTTGAGCTGGAAGGGTAGGAGGGGCAGTCAAATTTTGTAGATGACACAGTGTTGTGGACAAAGCATTGGGGAATAAGAGGGAGGAACAAAATGATCACTGGAGTGCTGGGGCTGTAGCTCAGTGGTAAAGTGCTCGCCTGGCAGGTGTGAGGCACTGGGTTTGATCCTCAGCACCACATAAAAGTAAACAAATAAAGGCATGCTGTCCATCTACAACTACCAAAAAAAAAAAAAAAAAAAAAAAAAAAAAAATCACTGGAGGTGCAGGAGTAAAGTAACTGAGGCCAAATTATTAGATGCATTAATCATCCTTGTAGATGCTAATGCCTTAGCATTAAACTTAAGTTCTTGACTTTCTTCCTCCAGTTACGGGTCAGAAACAAGTCATCTTGATTCTTCCCTCAACTATTGTAACCAAATCCTGTTGCTGCCTCCTCCTAAATAAATCTGCTTTTCCCCCCTCATCTATTCTTTTACCATAGTTATGGCTAGGCATTCTCTTTTTCCTGGACCATCTCATTAATCAACTGCCGTGCCTGGCTCTATTCTTGATCTGTTCTCATCAATTTGTCATGAAACATACATCTTAAAAAAAAAGAAAGAAAGAAAGAAATGTCAGGCACTGCAAAGTGGTGCATGCCTGGCTCCAGAGGGGCTGAGACAGGAGTATTGAGAGATTAAGGCCAGCCTCAGCAAAAAAAAAAAAAAAAAAAAAAAGCCAGGTGCTAAACAACTCAGTGTAGATCCTGTCTCTAAATAAGATATAAAAAATAGGGCTGGGGATGTGGCTTAGTGTCAAGTGCCCCTGAGTTCCATCCCCAGTACCCTGCCCTCCACACAAAATAATAATAATAATAATAATAATAAATAATAATAATAATAATAAGAAGAAGTTGGGCCATGTTACTCCTTGCTTCTATAAAACTGCAGTGGCTTCCCAGGACTGTAGGGCTCGAGATCAAACTCCAAGGCCCTACAGGAACTGGAATGCTTCTCCAGTCATGGCTTACACTGCTTTCTTCAGTGTTAATAAGTCTTAGGAAGCTGGGCAGTTGCACACTTGGAATCCCAGCAACACAGGAGGCTGAGGCAGGAGGATTGCAAGTTCAAAGCCAGCCTCAGCAACTTAGTGAGACTCTGTCTCAAAATTAAAAAAACAAAAACAAAAACAGAAAAAGGTTAGGAATGTGGCCCAGCTACATTGAAGCACTTTTCAGTCCAATCCCTGGTATCCCTGCCCCCCAACAATTCACCTAGTACTCATTTAACTCTTCATAGCTGCATCTATTGTATCCATTATTTCTCAACTTAATAAAAACTGTTAGCTTTGTGATATTTTTTGTTACACACTAATCTAGCAGCTGTACTTGTATAAACAACTTAGGTCTTTCTATACCCTTTATTACAGAGTACATTTTATTTCTTTACAGCATGTAACATAATTTGGCAGTTTTCTTGTGTCTCCAACCCCTCTAGAATTTAAGCTCTCTAAAGGCAGGAACCTAATTTGTCTGGTTTACTCTATCTTTGGCACCTAGCACATTGTCTGCACCTAGTAGGTACTTCATGCACATTTTTAAGTGGATGAGTTGTCCCAGAGTATCCCTGCTTAGAAGGGGTGACTTTAGTGTTGAGTTTCTTACCTATTTGAGCCATGCTACTTGAATCCTGCTTTACTTTTTCAGTCTTCACCTCAGAGACTTCTCCTGGGCCTCCTCCAATGGGGCCTCCGCCTCTTTCAAGTAAGGCCCTTGGCCCCCCCTCTGTGGGGAGCTGTCCTGTCTCCAGAGTGGAGCCCACAGGTTTCCGAGTCATCGAGTCTGAGGCTCTGATGGAGGATGTGCTGAGACCTTTGGAACAGGCATTGGAGGATTGCCGTGGCCACATGAGGGTAAGCCCTGGCCCTCCAGGGAGTGGGAGAGGATTCCTTTCCATAGCCAGATGCAAGTATGGCTCCCAAAGGTAGACCTTCTGACCCTATAGGCAATGATTCTTAATCCTGTCAGAGTTATGGACCCCTTCAGAATCTGCTAAGGCCTTCCCAAGAAAATAAACAGGATTTCAGGAGGGTGCACAAGACTTCTGCAGAACTAGTCAACAGTAGAGTTGTAGGAATGAGTTGAATTAAATTCCCATTAGTGGAAAATAGTAGTTTAATTTTCAGTATCTCCAGGCCATTCAGAGCATACCCTGCTGGTTTTGTACTCAGTGGGGGAGAGGAAATCTCTATCTATGGTGTTTCCTAAGCTTTCTGGAGGCAAGGGATCAAGGAAAGAGGAAGTAACATAGTAATTTCATCTATTTGGTTCTTAAGTCTCTTTTTTTGTAAATTAACCTTATGAGCTTCTGAGGGTCTGAGAAGCGCCCCAAATTTTTAAACTCTAGCCACACATGCATGTTTTCTTGGAAGAAGATCCATAGGCCTCAACAGGTTCTCAGTGAGGGCCTCTAACCTTTGGGTAAAGAACCAGATCTCTAAAAGACAAAATGTAAGGTCCTGGACTAGAGATTAGCAGATGCATTCCTATGATACTGCCTTCCCCTTTCCCCACTGGGCTGGCACCACTTGAGTTGGAGGGCATTTGTCTTTCAGAAACAGGTATGTGATGACATCAGTCGACGCCTGACACTGCTTCAGGAACAGTGGGCTGGAGGGAAGTTGTCAGTGCCTGTTAAGAGGAGGATGGCACTACTGGTGCAAGGTATGGGTGGCTTCTGGTATAGCCTAAATCTCTTGCCCTGCCATGGTTGGTTAAGCTGGAACAGGTGCTAAGATTTTGAACTCTGGGATGGGAGGCATGAAAACTCTTTTAGCACATTCTGCTTGCTCAAGCCCTGTTTCTCCTCAGAGCTTTCAAGCCACCGGTGGGATGCAGCAGATGACATTCACCGCTCCCTCATGGTTGATCATGTGACTGAGGTCAGTCAGTGGATGGTGGGAGTTAAAAGATTAATTGCGGAAAAGAGGAGTCTGTCTTCAGAAGAGGAGGCCAATGAAGAGACATCTGCAGCAGCTGCTGAGGAGAACCAAACTATACCAGGCTTTCAAGAGGCGCTATAATTCTGGGGATTCCCCAGACTCACCTAGCCTGTTTCCTATGCCTTGGTGTGGAGGCCTTCTCTCACTTGACTCCCTTTTACCACCAGGGAGACTGTCCCATTGGAACTGACCCAAGATCCAATCTGGGGTACAGGGAGCTCACTTGTTAACCTATAACATATGCATTTCAATAAAAACATCTCAGTGGTGGGCACTGGGTGGGAAGAGATGAGCCCTTCATATGTCACACTGGTCCCGAATACTGTCCTTGACAGCCCACTCCTTGCGTACCCTATAAACTCTGTTATCCTTCCTCCACACATCATGCCTAGCTGGGCATGATCAGATTGCTGCTTGCCACTTTTACCAAAATTAGATCAAGAAACACATTCCTTGTAGCCCCGTCTTTGAAAGAGTTCATTTCAAAATGAGAACAGATTCAAATAGCCTAGCATGTGGATGTTTTTCTCGCAAGGAAAGGAGACTCCCTTATATACCTTCCATCTTTGAGGTATACAGATAGTAGAGATTAGAACCAGTGAGTGGTTTTTGCTATAGAGAATGAAGGAGATGACCAGATACTGAGATTTGGGATCATTACCGACTCATCATTTGGCCTTTAGTGTGGACCTTAAGGTTTCTTCTAAACCTATGTAAACAACAGTGCTGTAAGAAAGGAATGCACAAGGTTTTCAGTATTGGAATGGGGATTGGTACTTATAGGTAGTAGGAGGTAGAAATAGCAAGGGGAGACAAGAGATTTGGCTATAGGCTGTGAAATCACCTCATCCAGAGAGTGCTGCTTAGGAATGGAGAGGGGAGGGCTGTTGGGGAGGCCCAGTTCCAAGAAGACTGCTTCCTGGAAAGACAGGAATATCCCCTGGCAAGGGCCAGGCTATTGCTGTTCATGGTTGTTGGAAGTTGGTTCAGGGGGAGCTGGGAACAGACCTGGACCTCTCATAAGCCTGCTAGGGCCCTCAGCTGTGTGGCTAAGATGAGAAGACCACCATTGAGGAGAACACTGGAGCCAAGACATTTGTTTGAAAGTTTACTAAGCAGCCAGAAGGTGACATATTCTGTCCTCTAGTCCTAGCCCTTAGCATAGAGGCCTGGGGGTTGGGAGGAGTACCTACAGACCAAAGAGAAAGGAGATCTAAGGGCTTGGCAAGTAGCCTACTCCTATCCCTGGTCTAGCTGCCCCAGAATTAAAGGAGATCCGCAGCCAACAAGTCACTCCTTTCCAGATTAGATGAGGCTAGCTGTCCTTTGGATATCCCAGAAAGAGGTGGTGGCAACAGCGGCATGAGGGATCCCTCTATAACGCCACACGGGGGGATCATCTGCACTGGATTAGAAGTCCATTTCAAATTGTGCGTCATCTGGAGAAAGAAAAAGCAGGGCTGGTTGGTGGCCTGAGGGTCTGCAGGCCTATGGCCAGTGTGGAAACTCCTCTTGGAATTGAACCCCACTCTACTTCACAGAGGCATCTCAACTCAAAGGATGAGGCATTTCCTAATTTTAGATACTGCTTTCCTTACCGGGTATCTCTTCCTCTGTCTCCTTCTGCTCCTTCAGCAACTCCAGTTTGGAGGGTAGGACTGTTGGAGGAGTTGTGACCCCGGGAATCTGAGGGAGGCAGCAGGGGGGTGTCCGGGCAATGGGTGAGTTCTTGCACTCCAGCAGGAACTTTCGGTCGTAGATGATCCTGGTGCCTGTTAAGGGGTAGGGGCTGAGGTTAAGAGTCAGGAACTTGGGCTCAAAGGTGATTAGGATCCCAGGCATCAGCCTTTTGAGGACTGTGTTGGGGGGTGTAAGACTCTGTCACATTTCCCAGTGTGTAGACTGACTAGGATCTCTACTGACAAGGCTTCATGGCACTGAAAGACTACCAGGCCTAACCAAGATGTGTCTAAGCATCATAAAGCAACTGGGCATTCCAGTTAGTCCAACCAGGGGACTTAGGTTTGGACGAGTTTCAGGTCTTATTTCTTAAAAGGAGCACCAAACTTTGAGCTCAGGGTCTGCTACTCTTAAGCTTTGACATTTTCTTGGTTTGGTTTACAAGGTGGGATATAGTTGCCCTACAGCTGTGAAGGGGGCGCTCATCTCCTGCAAAGAGAAGCTGTGTTCTTCCAGATACTTGCTTTCCTCATGAAAAACAGGGACATACTGTTCTTACTCTGACCACTCCCAAGTCCTTAAAGTCTCAGCCTTCTAGCTCAAGGAAAATCAGCCAGCATAGCTGACCTCAAGGGGAACTGCCCAGTTCTCGCCCCTCCCCTTTACCTCTCGTGGCAGGAATTGCAGGGTAGGGAACCCAGCCGCTCAAGTTCTCAGGCTGCTGGCTCAACCAGCAGCAGGGGAAGCCTGGACTTTTATCTATCACAGCTAAAAGATAGAGCCAGCTACCTGAACCCCTGCCCCCAACAGCTCTAACCAAGATTTGGTGCTTCCTGCTCAGGCCACCTTCTACTGGGACCTAGGCGCCTACTCCCACGAAGCAAATTTGCTAAAGGTAGGAGCATATGGAAGACCCCCAGAAACAAGGCCAGAGAGAGGAATCCACTCACTGTCACCGAAGATGGGCTCAAGGCACTTTCAGGTTTTGGGGAACTAAGTTTCGGTTCCAAAACCCTCCCCCAAACCTACAACAGAGGGGCCTGCGGACAAAGACAAATCTACAGCCCACGCCTACCCACCCCCGCCCGCAACAGCACGCACGCGCTGGTTTTCCAGCACTCTGCGGACTCCGACCCGGCCCGCTGACCTCCCGGGGTAGTGGCGTATAGCGTGCCCCCCGGCGTAGTGCTGTAGCAGTCGGGCAGCCGTTCCCGGCCCCCCGGAATCGGGCAGCTCGTGGACGTGGACATAGCAGACAGGAGGTGCAGGAAGGCAACCGGGCTGGTGCTGTGGCGTGGAATGCTGCTGAGTCTGAGGCGGACTTGGTTGACCACGTGCGGCCGCAGCAACAACACTAGGACGACGTCACGCCCGGGGCGGGCCACTCGCTGTCACTCAACCCGATGGCGCCGCCTACTCGCTAGAGAGCAACCAGACTCCTTAAAGGTTGGGGAGAGTCTAAGACTCTGCACAAGCCTTCAGATCCACCTGGTGCAATACTTGCCAGCTTTCCTCTGAATACTGCAACAGTTTAGCAGTTTACTGCTTACACTTGGGCTCCTGGGGAGTACAGCTGGCTTATTCCTCTCAAAAGTTTTGGACAGTAAAGCACTATTAATAGCCATATTTCACAATGAGGCGAATAAGCCCAGGCAGGAAAATCTGTTTCAAAGTAACAAATGTTGTTGGAGGGGTCCTAAGCGTACCTCACTTCAGAACCTGGTCCCTTCAACACAGCTGTGTACTGGCCACTAGAAACAATCAATTGAGGCTGTGGGCTTAGCTAAGTGGTAGAGCGATTGATTAGCATGCGAGACCCTTGGTTTGATTCCCAGCACAGGAAATACACGATTGCTATGTGGTGTGAAAATGCCTTAATGGCCTTGACCACGGCAAGGGACTTACTTTCTTCAGGGAGCTTTCTGAAGAAGTTGTACCTGGGCTAAAGGATGAGTGGGCCCTGAGGGACAGGGGGAGGCTGCAGTTTGAGAAATCAAGAGGGGAGGTCTGGACTTTTATCTATCACAGCTTACTGAGGATAGGTAGGGGATCTGGTCATTTAGCTCTGTGGAAGGGAAGGTCGGAGGGAGTGTCTAACCTTTTATCTGGCCTATTATATCACTATACCTACTATATATATATATATGGCCAGATATATAAAATGGGCTAGACAGAGGTGGTGGGAGAGTTAAGTACTAAGTCTAGTGTCTATATTATAGACTCTAAAAATTTTAACTTCAATCCAGTTGTCCAATTTGGCTTCCCCCAAATCAGCACTGTCCTTATTACCCCCCAAAATTAAGTATAGCACCTGACCACATGCACATACTGGTATTACCTCAACTATGGATTCATTAGAATTTCCCTTAGCTTTAATTCTGTCCCTCATTTAAAAAAAAATTATAAATCAGTGCTTCTTAAACTTTAACGTGCATATAAATCACCTGCAGACCTTAATGAGAACTCTGTTATACTAGGTCCTGGTGAGATTCTGGATTTTAAATACATTCCCAGGTAATACAGGTGCTGCAGATTCTCAGAATCATATTTCAGACAGCAAGGATATGTATGCTTAATTGTTCCAAACAGTTTTGAAGAAAGCATCTTACAAAGTGGTGCACACCTAAATGATGTACATTAACTGTGATGGAGAATAAGGCTTGGGAACAAATTATAGAGTCATCTGATAAGTCATCTTTTAACCAAGGTTATGAAGTAGTCTGTTCAGGGAGGCATGGGGTAGAGGACCATGAGATTGAAGGTGGGAAGCCCAACAGTGAAAGCAGGTGCACAAAAGGCTATAGGGATAAAGATAAATATATAAGACTCAGATACAAAGAGGAGAAAGAACAAGGTGATCGATTAAGGGTGGGGTGAAGGAAATGGAGATAAGCCAGGATACTTCCCTATCTTCTGGTTTGACAGCCTTGGTAGCTAGAATGCAAGTATAATAGGAAAAACAAGACAAGGAGTATTGGGGAATGAATAGTGTGTATGGAATGCCCAGGTAAAGCACAACATGGAGCTAAATATATTGGTCTGAAGTTCACAGGGAGAACTCAGGCTAGTGCTTCATATTTGAGTGGAATGAAATCCAAGAGTATGGAAGGAGATAACCTTGGGAGAAGATTCAGTGTAAGACAAGCCCTAAGCACATCAACATTTATTTAAGGAAGAAGGATTCACCAAAACAGAAAGAGCAGTCAGAAACAGATCTGGGAGAAGTTTTCAAGAAGGATCCATGTCTAAAAAATCTCTACTACAAAATAGCAGCAGTAGATATCACTACTATCTGCACTACTGCATGAAGCTAACTTTTTGGAGACACTAGGTGGAATAAGTTTGGAGAACTAGAAAATAGGTTGTTGGCTGAAGAGAGAAAGCCAGATTTATTATCCATGCAAACTGGATAAGGAACAAGAGTTTAAATCAGAGAGTTAATACTCACTAGAAATGGAAGTTTAAAAAATACCTATGCCCAGGCCCCACTCCAGGGACTACATTAAACATGAGGAAATACCAGGTCTCCACCACTAGGCAAACTGGCTGAAGTCACACCAATACCATCAAGATGAACTTTCCTAGCATATGTGAGGCCCTGCATTAGATCACCAGCACTGTGCAAAGATAAATAAAGGATAAGATAGGTATGCAATAGATGATTTGATTTATGACCTTGTTTTCCAAATTAGGTCTTGAAGCCTAGGCTAATTCCCTTTTTATTAGAGGTGATCTTAACACATTCAAAGAGTTTTAAACTTTAAACCACATTTTTGTCACTCCTTTTCTATAGGAAAGAGTGAAGGTGAAGGAACTAGCCTGTTGGAAAATGACAAATCACTAAAGGTGAATTAAAAGTGCAGCGTTATCAGAGCCCTTCACCCCAGTACAGGGTCCACTGGGAAGACGTCACGACCAGCCATACTTCTCCGTAGAAATTCTTCTTGTTAGTCAGAGAACAAGATGTTCAAAGTTGTTTTCCTACAGGCTTGTTTGCCTCTTCCTGGGTTTACAATGTGGTCCAAAGGTCTTCAACAGTGGGATACAATCATGTATACCAAATACTCCTCTCTGCTTGGCATGAAACTATCATATGACCAGCTTTTCTTCTACAACCTAACTCTAACTAAGATGGTCCCCCTTGTGCCCTAGTTTTGAGATCAGCAGGAGGATTTGGCCAGAATCTACACAAAAAGATGGAAACTGAAGTTCCAAGTCCTAAAGTTTCTTACCTCTGGTTAGGAGAGGGCACCATTGGCTGTCCAACTCTCTTCTTTGGTCTGGTTAGATGAGGTGATGGGATTTCCCCCTTGAGAGCAGGGACTGAAGAAAGCAAACTGGCCTATAAAAGGGCAAGTCAGCACACTGTAGCCACAATAGATTTAAGGGGTCTTACAACATCAATAATTTTATTGATGGTGGAATTTTGTTAACACTGAATACTATTTGAAATAAGTGAGTCTGGAAACCTTAATGATATATTTTATTCCTTGAAAGAGCTGTTACTCTCATGTAGTTTGACCTGTATTTTAGCAGGATGTTTCTTAATGACTTGAAGGACTACTATGGATGTGCAAGGTTTTCTTCTACCTTCACTAAAATCTCCAAAATCAATACTCATCCCCAGAATAGCAGGCTTTTTTCCCCCACCTCAGAACCAAACCTCAGTACTATAAACATTTTAATGGTTTCCAGTATTCGCAGACCGTATAATCTCATTCACAAGAAAAAGGAGAAAATTTATGTTAGAACTAGAGGACTCAAATTTTGAGTTTCATTTAAGTTTAGTTTCATTTTCAGATGATGAAAGTGAAGCCCAGAAAGGTGAAATGACATGCCTAAAGTCATAGTGCTTCAAGTGGCAGAAATGAAAATAGAATTTAGGCTTCTGACCCTTGTTCCACCATACCCATACTGCTTCCCCCCATATCCCTTGTATATTTTGAAAGTAATCAAGTTCTTACCTGAGCTAGGTTTTATCCAATGTTCAGGTTGGTAAATAGCAGTAAAGGAATGCCAGGAAGAGGCAGGCAGAGGAAGAATAGATTATAGCAGGCGAAATGGGGTTGGGAGTTGGCAACCAGGATCCAAATAGAAAGAAAGGAAGGCAGGGCTGATAAAAGAGTAGTAGTTCCTAAGGAACTACATTCACTGTACAACTCCTGTTTCTTCCTAATTCTCCTAGGGTTTTCTCCCTACTTTTCTCTTTATGGGTTCTAATTCCCGAATAGAGATAACATTTCTCCTTTTGTTGTTTTCTAGGTGCAGATTTAAGGATTCTTCCAGACAATTCAAATATATTATAGATAGTTACAATAGAACCAAACTCACCTTTTTGTCCCACTGAATAATTTACTTAATATTATCTCTCACTAGCATATATTTCATCAAGAGTAGTTTCATGGGCTGGGGTTGTAAATCAGTGGCAGAGCGCTTGCCTAGCATGTTTGAGGCACTGGGTTCGATTCTCAGCACCACATAAAAAAATAATAAAAGATATTGTGTCCATTACAACCAAAAATATTTAAGAGTAGTTTCATTCATTTCATTGTTTTAGGTGATTAATTTTGTTATTGATAAGTGGAAAGTGCAAGATATGTAGGTGATCCAAGGGGTCTCCCCCTCCCTCCAGGATCAGGGGGCCTCCTGATAATATTTGATGTGATTATCAACTACTACAAAAGCAGTAACTATGATACAAGTGATAACTTTCAAAATTCATTAAAAAAGAAGTAAGGGTTGGGGTTGGGGCTCAGTGGTACAGCATTTGCCTAGCATGTGTGAGCCACTGGGTTCTATTAGCACCACATATGAATAAATGAATAAAACAAAATGTCTGTTGACAACTAATACACACACACACACACACACACACACACAGAGAAATAACTTTAGTAATCATTCTCTTACATAAGATGAAACGGAAGACAAAAGAACAGGTTATGTCTAACACGGAACAAACATGGTATATCTGACCTGGTGCTGGCTTTAGGACCTAGGCAGTGATTAAGAATTTCTATTATGAGAGTAGAAAGGTGCTGCTTGTATAGTTTGCCCCTAGTTACTCCTCTTTTTTTTTTTTTTTTTTTGTGCATTCTCTCTTGCTTTCTCTATCCACCCCAAACATTTTCTTATTTTTTTTTTTATAATGCTTATACATAAGACGAGATTCAACTACATTAAAACACAGATTGATGACTATACTTTTCGGTGAGATCATTTTTCCTTCTCTATTGCATCAGATTCTTGGCATAACTTTTGGTTTGCCCAACTCATTCCAGTGTTTCTGTGTTTAGTTTGTTAAACATACTGACTTT